GTCTCGTGCCCATCACTAGTCGGGGGTCTAGACAGGGAGTTTTGGGCTGTTCTCTCTCGAGGTTGGTGGACAGGTAGGTGTGTAGTTGTTTACACTCTGGCTGTAGTTGGTGCTAGTAGGTGATGCGGCGTTCAGAGGTGTTGTCGTGATAATACTACATTTATGTAGCTAGGAGTCGGTACTGGTTTAGGTGGACGCTCGCCTGTAGGCCTTGAATCATGCATGGGAAACCGTCGGAGAGCGTGGCCGGGACGTTTGTATGTCCACAACCAGGAAACAAAGACCTCAATTGACACACGCAAGTCAGACTCAATTCACCACTTCTCAATTGCGATATTGATACTTACATATATCTTGTTACAGTTCCACATGGCACCTACACGTGATTCCACAGTTTTTCCGAGAAACGCCAAGCCGTGCCAGGTTCCCCAGCCCAGTTATCCCGAAGTAACCCCAATCAGCATAGTCGAGCTGGGCGGACTCGTCACTTCAAGCCACTTCAAAGGACCACAGAAACATGCTCCCCGATATCCCCATATCCATATCCAGGACTGGGTATGGACCTCTAGAGACGCGAAATATCTATTATCAATCGGGTGAAGTAAATACTTAGCCTCCTGGCGCCTCGAAGGAGATTCTCCAGAAAGCGCATACTGGATGTCGCTGTGGAGTAGTAGTTCTGTTTGTTTAAGCTCGATCCTCAATTGCTGGAGATATGTAGTAGACCAAACGGAAGATGGCTCGTAAGAAGCTGCTGCTCTGCGGAAGAGCACACACACCGATAACTGTCATGTCGCCTTCCTCCCGTCCCTAAGACATGCGACGGAAGCTCTAGAAGATAGATACATATATAGCTCAATTACTCAATTGCATCGTCGCCGTCCTCAGCCAGAAAGCCCAGAAAGCACTTCAACAGGATGGAAGTATTATAGTCCCGGCCGGCCGGAAATTTGATCAAGGCCAAGATGCATCGATTTTTCCCTTTTTCCCTTTCCCGCCCCCCCTCAACACTTTTTTTCGCTCTCAAAAGTCGGTCTTCACGCCGTTTGGTGTTTTTAGTGTCCCGCAATTTTTCTCCACACTTACTAGTACGTCACACCCAACCACCACCCCACAAAAATGATGCCTGACTGAACTGGTTAACCTACCTCCCTGACCTATTTTTTGGCGGGGTTTTGCTATTGCTTGATGCGATAAGATACTATCAGAAGTGCATTAGTCAGGGGAATAATCACGGTTCCTGGATTGCCTTACCGAACCCTGGGTCGAGAGTTGCAACAGCGGTGGTTCTCCCCTTTCTGTTCCACCTTTTCTGGCTGGTGAGAGACCAGAAAACTTCCCAAGAACAGCCTTCTGTTCCAAAATTAGGCAGAGAGCATCCAGAGAAGTGCACAAGGAGAGAATCGTAGAGTAATGTGACATCGCCACCGCAGGATCGTGCCATGATCCTGCTGCTTCGGGCACTTGGCACGCCAACCTTTCCCGGTTTTCTATGCACCGGAAAAACTATGACAAGGACCCCAAGCACGGGTTTTTCCGAGTACAGAGCTACCTCACCGTCAAACCTCCGCAATGATCCCCGGTGCAAAAAGCCTCTCCCAGAGTCCACCCCGCCATGATCCACAATTCCCTCATGGGGGTACGGGATGGGGGCAAGGGGGTATAAAGGCACTTGGTTCTGCCGTCGAGATACTCTGGTCAGCATCATCGCCTTTATCTGGAGAAATTCACAACATGAAATACTCCTTTGCCCTAGCTTCCTTGCTCGCCGGAGCGGCGAGTGCCCAAAACTTGTCCACCGCGAATCTGGCGGATGTGGATATCACGACGGCGGGAAACAACACTTTGTTCACGAGATGGAGGCCTACTTCGCATTTCATGGTATTCTTTACTGGTGATATTAATGTTCGAAGTTCAGTATTAACTGAATAACCCTAGGGACCTCACTCATGGTTGAACGACCCTTGTGCTCCATCTTATGATCCCGCGACCGGATTGTACCACTTGGTAATGGATCTCCCCGCAGATGATCGAGAGAGTAGCTAGCTAACAGTTCCCAAGATGTATCAATGGAACCCTCACCACATCAACTGGGGCAACATCTCCTGGGGTCACGCCGTCTCCAAGGACATGGTCGCCTGGACCGATGTTCGCGGATGGGAAGACGACAAAGCCCAGGGTCTTGGTACTGGTCCCAAGGGCACCCTCGACCACCTTGGTGTCTTCTCCGGATCAGCCCAATTCTTGCCGGCGAACCAGTCCTATGGCCTTCCTGGGCTGAACTTTACCAGCGGGCCCACAGACAAGACCATCATGGCCATTTTCTACACCTCCGTACAGCACCTTCCCACCAACTGGAAGCTTCCATACATCAACTCAACCGAGACCCAGACTTTGGCCGTCTCTGTTGATGGCGGTATGACATTCACAAAGTTCGAAGGAGAGGGCGTGAACCCTGTTATTCCTCAGCCCCCTCCAAATTTGAACATTACCGGATTCCGCGATCCCATCTACGAGAAGTGGTCCGAGATGGATGATATCCTTTTCGGAAACGCCTCGCTCGGTAATTTCTACACTGTTCTCGGGTCAGGAATCAAGGGCGCTGGAGGACGTCTCCCATTCTACTATGCCCCGGCCGACGATTTGACAGACTGGCGCTACCTTGGCCCTATCTTTGCCCGTAGTGAAAACGAGAGCTGGAGCGAGGTTTACTCTGGCTCCTTCGGGTACAACTTCGAGGTCGCCGGTGCCTTTTCTCTTACCGAGTCCGACGAGCACGGAGGTGATAGCGAGACTGCTCACCACTTTGTCATTATGGGAACCGAGGGTGGTGAAACCACAAAGCACCCCTCTCCTCAGTGGGCCCTCTGGACAGAGGTGGCCATCACCCGCTCTAACAACGGGTCTGCACACAGCGAGGTCCTTTCCTCAGGTGTTCTCGACTGGGGTCTATCATACGCCTGGAACTCGTTCTGGGATGCTCCTAACAAGAGACGTATTGCGTGGGGTTGGGCGAAGGAGGAGGATCTGACAGTCGCAAAGACTGCACAGGGCTGGCAGGGGGTAATGACCTTGCCCCGCCAACTGTACGTGAAGGTCTACAGCGGTCTCAAGAACACTGCCGGCGTCCTCACCACAAAAGGGTCCTGGACCTCAGAGCGCAAGGCCGATGGAACCTGGGACATCAAGACTATGGGAATGCTGCCCGCCCCCGAGGTCGTTGAGTCGCTCCGTGAAGGTGCCACCAGAGCGTCTGTCAATGCCACAAACGCAGCTCCCAACACCTACAAGGCCATTACAAGCAACCTCTCTGCCAATATCCATGCCGAGATCACTATCCCACAGAACACCACAACTCCCGTTGGTTTTTCAGTTCTCCGCTCTCCTGATGGCGAGGAGGAGACCCTTATTGTCTACGATCCCGCTGCGAAAGAGATCAGGGTTATCCGTGAGGGATCATCAAGCCTCAACTCGTCATATGTGAACACCTACCCCAATGTTGCACCTCTTTTCCTCCTTGACTACTCTAATGGCAAGAGGGAGAAGCTTGTCTTGGACATCTTTGTTGACAACTCCATGATCGAGGTCTTTGCCAACGAGCGTGTCGGCATCACTTCCCGTGTGTACCCTGCCAGAGTGGATTCTACCGGCTTGGGAATGTGGACTGGTGAAGGACAGGGAGAGGTTACCTTCTCAAAGGTGAAGATATGGACTGGGCTGAAGAATGCCTTCCCCGAGAGGCCAGCCAACAGCAGTAATGCGCTCGTGTGGGATTCGCCGGAAGAGACTGGAAACTACACTTGGTGGCCTGGTAATTAGAGGGGGAGGTGTATGATAAATGATGGAGATGAGATGATACCTGATGAGAGATGTACTTCTGTATGTAGAATGCGCGGCATGAGTACCCATGAATAGTTTTAATGTCAAGTCAAATTTTGAAACCTTATCTATAGAGAACCAATCTTTCCCTTTCTCGGCGTCATTTCCTCGTTGTAGCACTTTTGAGCCCTTCTGGAAGTTTGAGACGGGCACAGAAAACGATTTCTATAATTATAAAGGAAGCTCAGACCGGCTGGATATGGTAGAAAGTAAGTTCTTTTTTAGGCGCATTGACTGATAAGGATCCGGACATTTTTTTTTTTTAATTCATTAATTGCATGCTAAGGATCCGGACATTATTGTTATAGGTATATGAAAAGTAATGTTCCCGTGAAGCGGAATGCCCAGAAAATGCATTATCAAGTTGAAGAAGTAATTTGAGCTTCGATAGACAGCAAAAGGACCCATGTTATGCGTGAAGATACATGTAGTCACCAGACAGCACTCGACCTGTCACGCTTATGTAAGTCCTCATACCTCGATGCTCATGGGGGTTGGTGACCACGGGGGTGTGGAACTTTTCGATTACAACGCCGGAGGATACTCAAACCGGCCCGCAAATGGGTATAATTCAAGACGATGAATTGTTCGAGTTTCATGCGGTGTTTCGGGTTTTCCTATTCTTATAAATTTAGCTATCCTGCGGATTCATCGTGGGTGGAAGCAAATCAAATATCTCCGCACCCCATGGCCGTCATACCCCCATGAGCTCGTCTACGTGTGGGTGTGAATCTAGGAAAGCTGTCCACACAGATGTACAGTCAACAACTGTCCGCAGAGCGAAATCCGTCTGGTTCCGTATTCCGAAGAACCTCACAATCGATAAACTTTAGATCTTCCTAAATTAAATTAAGAGGATATTGGTGAGGGCCTAGAATTAGATTTTCGGCAATTGCATTTAACCCGTGATTTAGAGGCTGTACCGCGCGTTACCGCGCAGGTACCTTTTACTAGTTCGACACCCAGGTAGTACTCTACACTAGTATGCGCTTGCAACTTGCCAGTCCCTAAATGTATCTACCCACTCTAACCATAACTTTGATTTCTACAATCCATCCTGTTCAGACAATCTTTCATCACAACTGGTCAGCCAGCGATCAGCACAAATCGTTGATAACATAATGACTTCCGGTCCAGAGTCACAAGAACCCAAGGAGCTATCGGAAAGACAAGTTATTGCTTCAGCATCTGATGGTCTTCTACGCTCAGCCTCTGAGAAGATTTCAGGAAAAATGTCACAAGTAAAAAGAATTGCTGTTATCTCGTTTGAGGTCATCGTCACTTGTGTTCCGCTTCTTTTTATCATTTTGGCATTTTGCGCCAATAGTCTAGATGGTAAGCAATTGTCTCAGTGGGGTGAAAAGCTGCAACAGGTAGCAAAATATGTAAGTACTCACCTATTCTTCAACTTTCGAGTGTTCGTACCGGAGCTGATAGAGAATAGGGGAGTACTATATTCCCTATCCTTTTTGCTTCTGTGCTTGGGATGGCTATAAGATCAATCGCGAGATGGAGAGTGGAACGGGGAACAACGCTTCGTGAACTGTGAGTTGGTCAGAGATATAGTTAACAGATAGTGGGAAATGCTAATGAGTAATATCAGAGAGCTGTTGATGGGGAGCCAGACTTTGGGTAGTACAATAAGCACTCAGATTTCCACCCTTGGCTTTTCTAACGACTTCCTTCTCGGCTTTGGACTCCTTGTATTTTGGCTTCTTTCTCCTATCGCAGCACAGGCTTGTTTGAGACTGGTCGATATAAACCAGGTGACTACTGAGAGTACTGGTAATATCACCTATTTGGATATGGAAACTAGCACGATTTTCCTGACAGGAGATGATAAAACTGGAGTACGTGACATATATAATACCCTCTATGATTTTAGTCTGCTTTCACCACCAGTATATCGCACTGAAAGCAGAGATATATGGGGAAATATAAAGGTACGATATCAGAGCTTTGTTTTCCTCCTTCTTCAAACATATAATTCTTACATAATCTATACTAATTGACATAGGTTCCGATGTTAGAATCATTCAACTCTTCTAGGATAGAAGAGGATGGATGGATATCTGTTGATGCATACGGCGTCGATAATAATATCTCATACGTATCGCTTATCGGCATTCCAGTTATTGGCCTCCCAAAGTTGAACTTGAGCGATGAATGGACAAACAAATCATTAACGGTACTGATGACTATTTTCAGCTTGGAGACAAACTATTTTGTATTTGATTGTTCAAATATTTCGATAGTAGATCCTGAAAAAAACCGGGAAGAATATGTCTCTAGTTATCTTTACAACAAAACTTCGCCCTCCCCTAATACGACCTTTTTTTTGGACACCTCCACTCCCCTCGATAGAGTCTCGACACCGGGTCTACCACCAAGGTATATTACGTTTGTCTCGAATTATGGTGTGTTAGAAGATGAGGACGATACTGTTTTGTACAAAAGTGCGATGATCAACTGTTCTGTGACTCAGTCATACGTTGAATTGTGGGTTGAATGCTATTATGAGCTCTGCGAGGTGAGTATATTATTTCAAGGTTCTTAAGTGCTCGAATGGATTCTGAACTATTATTAGACCAGAGGAATTCGGAAATCTACATTACCTCACGAACCTCCTGAATATACCGCTCTGGATAACCAGGATCATATGAGGTTTATTGCGAAAGAGTTAACTTACAGAGGAGTCGATATTACTACTATCAATATCGAGGATCTGTGGGGTGGAACGTTGACCGAATACTTTCTCAATGATCCATCGAAAGTGGGGTCTTTCTTCGAGTATAGACGGGATATATCTCAGCTACCCAGAGATGTTTTTACCTCTAGGTTCGCGTTATTGTTCAACACCTATTGGAACGCCGCGCTCTCGCCAAATATCTTGATTGATTCCAAAACCAAGAATGACATAGCCGAGATCGTCGCCACAAATCCTAATTTTGACTACTCAGACTTATTCAAGACTACAAACACAAACGCAACAATCGAGTTGACCGTAGACAGGTACGTTCGAAAGGTCTGGGCAATGGCGGTACTCATGGCAACGAGCTGCTTGCTTCTCATCACAGCCATTATCGGCACAGCCCTTAGATGGAAGTGCGTAGGACCTAATGTTCTAGGCTACGTTTCGACACTCTTAATGGAGCCCGGCGGTTGCACACTTGATGGGCCGGAGAGAACTAGGGCATTTGCAGATACGAAGGTGGGCCTTGTGGCTGTCAGAGACGGCGAGGGAGGACGCGTTGTATTCTCACTCTTGCCGAAGCTCTCCGCTTAGACACGGAAGAAGTAGTCGACAAGTGATTTAGTTTTGTTATTCTTCATTTTCGTTTTGTTGATTGTGCCAGCTCAGAGTTACCATCATGCTTGTCTTTTTACAGTACGCGGTCCTCTCTTTGAGGTGAGTATTTCATTCGTTAGTCTGCACGAGTTTTCCAGCATTTGCTACTGGTAGTGTGTACGTAATTATCAATCTTCACATTTTCGCATGATAAAAAGCGAGGAATTATAACGAGATGGCCCACCTTCTGGTTCTAAACTCTCTGATATAAATAAGAATATGCTGCATACATTTAGGTTAGTTGTAGTTATTCCTACGAATGGGGTTGGCTTCCTTTAATGTTGGCGCGGATTGGTGTATGGGAACGAGGGAAGACGATCGACCAAGCACTGATTATTTCTTTTTCACTAATCTTACCGGGCATATAGATATCTCTCTTCCATGCTTCTATGCCATCAAATATGAACTTTGCAGGAGCAGGTACATACATACAGTCGGGGTACAGAAGTTTTGGTAACTTTGGTTGCCGTTGCAACACAAAATTTGTATGGGAACACATACAAAATCAGAAACACCCAAATAATTTACTTGATCGCACACACCTGAAGAATGGACTTAAAATTCTAGCTAAAAATGGCTACTTTGGCAGTAAAAAGGGTATATTACCAAAACTTCTGTCCTGGTACTATATGTACACACGTACTTTTACAAAATAAGCCAGTATGTACGGAGACCTAGATCTAGAGAGCTCTTACACATTGCATTAAAGCATACATAGATATGTACAGCGCGTTGCCAGTCGTGATGGTCAGGCGCGCGATGCAACACGCGCGCGCAACCTTTTTCACAACCCAGGACAACGGCAACGTCGTCACGCGACATCCAATACCACTACCAATGCCGAGCAAAACCCGCAAAACAGTCAGAAGGGAGTGGCCAGAGGGGGTACTATGGCAGGGAATTGGAATGAAGCGTGTTGGGGCACCCTATTCCACAATTACCAAAATCCTCAAACTGCCCAAGTCAACCCTTACCAACGCCATGGCAAGGTATGAGAAGACTGGTCAGGTTAAATCCACAACCATGCATGAGGGACACAAAATAACTACTGTTAGAGATGATAGACAGCTTCTCATCTCCAGTAAACGTGAGAGAGAAATCACATATCAGCAACTCCGTCAGGAATTCGCAGTCAAACTCTCAGCCAGAACAATCAGGAGTAGGCTAGATACATTTGGGGTCCATAAGCACATTATGGCTGAGAGACCAAAATTGACCCCATATGATGCAAAAAGGATACTGCGGTAGTGTATTAGACATAGAGATTGGGATATAAGAAGATGGAGGAGAGTGGTGTGGGGTGATGAGTGCAGTGTTGAGAAATTTGCAAATCCATATGTCTCTTGGGCATTCAGAACTGCAAAGGAAAAATGGCTTCCTGAGTGTGTTAAAGGTGCTAGGAAGTCAGGAGGGGTATCTAAAATGATGTGGGCATGATTTGCCAGGGAATTGAAGGGGACCTGTAATGGGGTTATGGTGGGAGAAGGGGGAGGACATATGCAGAGGCATATGTCAGGACTCTTGAGTTCTGTCTCCTGGATTTTTTGGCAGAGTTACAGGAGAAGGGTATCAGACTAATCTTCATGCATGATAATGCTAGGGTACATACCGCCAGCCTTACAACTCACTGGTTGGAGCAGCATGGGGTTGAAGTTTTTGAGGACTGGCCTGCCTATTTACCTGATTTAAACCCCATTGAGCATGTTTGGGTACACCTCAGGAGACTCTACCATCAGCACTACCCCCATTTAGTATATGATACTATATCACCTCAAGTAATTAAGCCCCTCATGGAGGAAGCTCTTATTCATTGTTGGGAACTGTTACCTGATGAGTTATTTGGCAGGCTGGTTGAAAGTATACCTAGGAGAATTGACGCGGTTATAAAGGCAAGGGGTTGGTACACAAGATATTAAATGTCAAATTATTTCTATTTATCTACTATTTAACAACTATACAAAAATTCAGCTCTCCAAAGGATCAATTATGGTTGTTGTGCTGGTACCCGTAATGGTTCGGGGGCGCGCACGGCGTTGCGACCCCATGCTTGTGTAACGGCAATATTACCTGTTGGCTAGGATGATCGATTGGATCGTGAAGAGAAGGTATTGCGCAGTTGAACTAGGATTTGTAATGGGGTTTCTGTTATGTTCTTTTGGTTTCCGTTACGTGGGGTATGAGTCATCAACGGATTAGGGGCTGGATATATAAAGGGGTGTTGTCTCGTGCTTTTTCATGTTTTCCTTCCTTTCCTCTTCTCTTCACGCAACCTTTGTATTTACTCCACGAATACCATGTTTGTTCTACGTCTCATCATAGGGTTCAACTGGTTGTCATACCAGGTAGAACCAACCCATGGTCCATAGCCAGGAATACCTATAGCTACGTCCTCGCCTCGGTTGTATTCCTTGGCACTATAGTCCCTACGCCCATAGACCCCCGTTACACCACGCCAGAATGGACCTGAACTACATCTCTTGGGTAGTGTAACGGGGGTCTATGGGCGTAGGGACTATAGTGACAAGGAATACAACCGAGGCGAAGACGTAGCAATAGGTATTCTTGGCTATGGACTATGGGATGGTTCTACCTGGTATAACAAACCAGTCGAACCCTGTGAGAAGACGTAGGACAAACGTAGTATTCGTGGAGTAAATACAAAGGTTCCGTGAAGAGAAAAGGAAAGGAAAGGAAACATGAAAAGACACGAGGCAACGCCCCCTTATATATCCAACCCCAAGTCCATTGATGACTAATGCTCCGAGTAACGGAAACCGAAAGAACATAACAGAAACCCCATTACAAATCATAGTTCAACTACGCAATACTTCCTCTTCACGATCCAATCCATCACTCTAGCCAGAATATAATATTGCCGTTACAGGTAGTTAGAAACGCCCTCACCGTAGCACTCGAACCCCTCAACCAAACAACCGAACAAATCAACAGGGACCTGAAAGCCACTATTGAAGTTCTATCCACCCAAAATAACTCCCTCAAACACACCGTCGACATCCTGGCCAAACAAATGTTTGAAATGACAAAGAACCAAGACAAAACATCCGAAAAACTCCACCGCCTCCAACATCAGCTCACTAACCTCTCCACCAACAGGCCCAACAATCAAGTAGCTGCCGAAGGAAGAGCTGCCGTAATCGCAGCCGCCGCCATCGCCGCCGCCATCGCCGCCGCCACTACCACCGCCGCCCCCACCACTCCCGCCAGCAACCCCAACCACGCTCAACAACCAAGAGGGAAAGCAAAAGAAACACCGACCCCAGCTGCACCGAGATCCTACGCATCCATCGCAGCAGGAAACAACAACCCCGAATTCACGACAGTCACAAATAAGAGGAAAACCAAGCCCAAAGTAGACCCTCTCTTCAAACCTGAAATCATCAGACTCAACCGGAAAATCGTAATCGAAACAAACAAGGAACTTCCAGTTACCCCGTCGGACATCAGAGCTAAAATAAACGCAAAAATCCAAGACCCCAACTCCCAACTAATCTGTAACGGCAATACTGTATCTTGGCTAAATGCGATAGAATGGATCGTGTGGAGGAGGTATTGTGCAGTTGAACTAAGATTTGTAATGGGGTTTCTGTTATGTTCTTTCGGTTTCCATTACGCAAGTTATTAGTCATCAACGGACTAGGAGTTGGATATATAAGGGAGCGTTGTCTCGTGCCTTTTCATGTTTTCCTTCCTTTCCTTTTCTCTTCACGGAACCTTTGTATTTACCCCGCGCAACACCAAAACTTTCGAACAACAATAACTTTTGGCCTGCATTCTCGATAAAACTTTTACTCGAACACGATCCTGTATGTCAATAGACTCCGTAATCTATTGGTATCTTATCGCACATCTGTTCGTATGTGAAGTTATTCACGCCCTAGTCCCTGAGTTGTGAACTCCCCACCCCTCAACCCCGCCTAAGCTTCGCGACCGTAGCGGAAAACAACAATCTGGCCTTACCAAACCCACCCAACCCACCAAACACCGCGGGCAGAAAGAGAACTCTATCAGAAGTTTTCCCCAACCCAACCCGAACTGGAACATCAGTAATGTCCCAACAAGTCTCTTTGAGCTCCTGGTTCGCAGGAGCCCCCCCACCAGGAACACCGGCACCCCCTCGCTTCCCTGACACCCAATCAACCCAACAAACACAGTCCACCACCATCGAACAAACCCAGCTCGGTAATGAACCTTTCTCCATATTCGCTGAACACACCCAATACAATGAGCCATATGCACCAAAGTACGACTATATCCACCCCAACATCGTTCCCCAAGAAACCCACGCTAGAATGGACCTAAATTACGTTTCCTGGGTAATTAGAAATGCCCTCACTGTAGCACTTGAACCCCTCAACCAAACAACCGAACAGATCAACAAGGATTTAAAAGCTACCATTGAAGTCCTATCCACCCAAAACGAAACCCTTAAACACACCGTCGACGTCCTGGCCAAACAAATGTTTGAAATGACAAAGAACCAAGACAAAACTTCCGAAAAACTACACCGTCTCCAACAACAGCTCACCAACCTCTCCGTCAACAGGCCCAGCAATCAAGCAATCAATGAAGGAAGAGGATCCGCAATTGCCTCCGTCGCCGCTGCCACCATCGCTCCTATCACCACACCCACCAACAACATGAACCACGCCAACAACCCGAACCATGCCCAACAATTAAAAGGGAAAGGCAAAGAGATTCCAACCCCACCAGCACCAAAATCCTATGCATCCATCGCAGCAGCAAACGCCAACCCCGAATACACCACCGTCACGAACAAGAGGAAACCCAAGCCTAAAGCAGATCCCCTGTTCAAACCGGAAGTCACCAAAATCAACAGAGAAATTGTCATCGAAACGAACAAGGAATCACCAGTTACCCCCTCTGACATCAGGACAAGAATCAACTCCAAAATCGAAAACCTGGACTGCCAATTCATCGCCGCCAGGAAAACTTCAAAAAACAACATAGTTCTAGAAACCAAATTCGCCACACCCGCCTCGAAAGTCTTCGAATATAAACAAGAAATCGAAGCAGCCCTGAAAGAACTCAAAGTCCCCTTCGTCGACATCAGAGTTAATTCCAGATGGTCTAAATTTATCATACACGGAATTCCCACAACAATCGGAGATGGCTATGAAGCAGGACAGGTAATGGCCTCAGAAGTCAGAAGCAATTACGGGAGCACATTCGAAATGGCACAAATCCCCAGATGGCTCAGCAGACCCAAAGCCAGGATAGGGAAAACACACTCATCAATGATAATCGCACTCCCAGGACAATACACAAAGGATAACCTCGGACTAAGATACCTCACCCTATTCGACCGACAATGCAAAATCGACAACTACTTCCCAGCCAACCCAGAAACCCAATGCTCTAAATGCTTAGAATATGGCCACCGACATGAAAGATGCTCCCACCAAACCGGGAGATGTGGACACTGCGCAGAAAACCACCAAACAAAGGAACACCCATGCTCCGAATGCTCAGGAGGCACCAGATGCATCCATACACCCATCCGATGCTACCACTGCAAGGCCCCTCACAAAGCAACAGACGCCAACTGCCCAGAACGCACTAAAATCAGCATTACAAACAAACTGGGACCAGACACAAACCCAAGCCCGCTACCAATACCCATTGTCATCCCGGCCCAAGATCCCCCACAAGAAGATGCCGCCATGGATAACACCCAATGAGCCACACCAAAAGGACCACGGCTATCGCACAGCAACTGAACTGCGCGAAAAATGAGCTTACAACGAAGTCAGTAGTGGAGGAAGCAGAACAGGACCACAACATACTCTTTCTTTTGTTACAAGAACCATGGAATAACAAGGACGGCCACCCACCGGAATCCCCTCTTTTCTACCTATTTACAGCCAGCAACATAGGCACTAAAGCCGCCACATACATCAGGAAACACGTCAACCTGAAACCAAAGCACCACTACACCCACAATAATTTTATCCTCTCCGTCACGGTGGAAATCCAAAACCAGAAAACACAGATCCTCAACATATACTCACCAGGAAAAAGCGGACCCTTTGCAGAAATCTCCCGACAGATAACCACAATCCAAAACTGCCTTGTAATGGGAGACTTCAACAGCCACCACCAACTCTGGTATGGACATAGATCTCACGACTATACCAACAATATCAGAACAGACAAGCCCGGATCCAGGAAACTAAAAAGATGGATCGACCTGCAAAGACTGTCTCTACTTAACGAACCAAGCGAATTCACACACTTCCCCAGAAACAATAATAGACCGACCATCATCGATCTGACACTAGTCAAAGGACCAGTACTGGACCACGACATCCGCTGGAACATCGACCGACATGGAGCAGGCTCCGACCATGGGAAGACCATCCTGCAACTACGAATAGAGAAGCCCCCTCACATCCCCAGAAGACTGTGGCACCGAACGAACTGGGAAAAACTGGAAGAAAACATCTCAGGCCTTCACTTTCCCCCCGAAGCATGGGAATGCCAGAACCACACAAAACAATCGGTCGACTTCATACTCGAACATATAGATAACCTAATAGATCAAGTCATCCCATGGAGCCAAGGACACCCCAAGTCCAAGAAATGGTGGACCCCAGAGCTAAAGGAACTCAAATCAACCCTCAACACACTGGAAAGGAAGGCCAGAAATACCCAAAAAAACGAAGACAGGGAATCCTTCAGGAAAACCAGCAGGAAATGGACTGCAGCAATCCGGAAAGCCAAGGCGGAACAAAGGGAAAAAGAACTCACGGAGGCCAAAGGAAGCGCCATCTGGAAATTAATCAACACGGGGAAAAGAAGAGACACCACAATCCCAACTATACAAGGTGAAGAAACGTTTGTGGGGAAGTGCCAAGCTCTAAGAGCCCAACTCTTCCCCACAAATTGGACGTCCCCCAACAACCCCCCACTACAAATCAGACCCCCATCTTTTGACCTTAGTGACGATTTTCAGGAAGTAACAACAGAAGAAATCACATTCGCAATCAAATCATGCCCAACACACTCTGCCACTGGCCCTGATAACATACCATATCCTTTCATACAAGCAACAATCAAGGCAAACACCCAACTCTTCCAGGACATGTTCTCAGCCATGCTCCAGTATGGAGTCCAACCGGATCGATGGAAAGAGGCAAAATGCATACCAATCCCGAAACCAGGAAAATCCGGCTATTCATCGGCCAAAGCCTACCGACCCATCTCCCTGTTACAATGCTTCAGCAAAGTACTGGAGAAGATAGTGGCAACAAGACTATGCACCGCCGGATCCATCTTGGAGACCCTCAGTAAAGATCAGTTTGGAGGAAGACCAACAATCTCAGCGATCGATGCCCTAATACGGACCCTCACGCCTATCCAACAGAACCTCCTAATCAAACGGACTACAGGGACCACCCCAGACAGACCAGCCCTCCTTACAAATGACATACAAGGAGCCTTTAACTGCGTCGACCACCTCCTACTCGCCGAGATCATGACCCAACAGAAATTCCCATCATACCTAACCAACTGGTGCAAGGAATTCAACACCAACCGAACACTCCAATTCCAGTTCAATCATGAACTGGAACCACCACAACCGTACACTTCGGGGCTGCCCCAAGGGTCCCCCCTATCCCCAGTACTATTCATGATATATGCTGGAGTAATAACAGATCCCACCAACTCGCACAAGGAAACCAACACCACCTATATCGATGACGATGCACTCGTACAACTTGCAAAGTCCCCCCTCTACATCACCAAAAGACTTAACGAAAGGATGGCTGAAAGAGTCAAGAAAGCGGCACCTCTCAACATCAAATACGAACCACAAAAATCCGACCTGGTCTTCTTCAAACCCACAACGTCGAGCACCCCAACTCCCAGAAATTCGGTCACAATCGTAAAAGAAGAAATCCAACCCAAAGATAGACTCAAATACGTTGGAGTCTGGCTGGACTCAAACCTCTCCTTCCGGCCACACATCGAAGAAACCATTGCCAAAGGCCTTAAAGCCTTAAGCAGAATCAGAAACATCGCCTACCTCCCCGGATCAACAGTAAAATCTATCCACCACCTAACCGTCCAAGGCTTCCTCCCCATTATCCTATGGGGATCAGAGGCATGGTGGACAGGAGCTGACCACATCCTCCGATCACTATCCCCACTCTATAATGAAGCCGCAAGGATAATAACAGGCCTACCCCGCTGGACAAAAACCGAAAGACTGCTGAAAGAGGCAGCACTCCCCCCACTCGAACACCTCCTCAACCATAAATCACGGAAATATGGGACGCGAATCCCCTGTCACCCTGCCGACCACCCACTCAACGAAGAACCCATACAACTCCTCCCCACCAGACTAAAAAATACCAAAGGAACAGGCCTACACCGAATCGCATCACTTATGCTACCCTTTCAGGAACCAGGCAATCGCAGAGAGCGATGGATCCAGAATGATACCCTTACCAAACGCATGCTGGAAGAGTGGAACTCCATTCCATGCACCAACTACCACGAATCAGGAACGCTAAAAATCCACCCCATGCGAGCAAAACTCTCCCGATCCAAAGCAAAACTCATACACCGCATCCGATGTCAAGTCACCAGGATAGACAGACATGCAGCATTCACGGAACCCGAACCCTGTCAATGTGGCTCGGAACAATCCTCCAAACACACCATGATCGATTGCACACGATGGACACAATTATGAAGACCACTCATGGACAGAATCCCAGGACCGTACACATGGGAAAATTGGCTATTCACCAACCTCAACGTAGACCTGGTTCTACAATTCGCAGCAAAAACCAACCTACTCGACTGGTACGAAATAGACGAAGAAGATCTGGAGGAATGACGGACGGACCTCTCTCTCTCGCTTTCTTTCTTTTCTGTTCCTGTACCTCTCCCTATGTCTCGGCGTATCTATTTTTTTTTTCCTTTTTTTTTTTTCTTTTTCGCTTCTCCTTCCTTTTGTTCTTTCTTATGTCTGACGGCGGAGGATCCGGTGTGCGATAAGTCATGTACTTCAAAGCAATATAAAATCTATCTATCTATCTTGTATTTACTCGCGCCCGACCGCGCGAGGGTACGGGACCCCCTCCCGTTTCGACATCCTGATTCTCGAATTGCTTCAGGCCCTGAACGAGACGCCCCCCCTATCTGCGGAGTTCAAGCCTTTTACTAGGACGCGTCCTTCTTCTTACCCCTCCTCAAACCCGTCGGCGCCCCCGATCGCGACACCCAAACGACCAGCCCTTCAAGGCTTCCCCTTTCTACGTCGTATTGGCACTCTGTCAATAGTCTGGAGGTCAGCGCAGACTCATTGCCAAAGCCTACGATAACCCACGGTGCTAGCGACCTTACGGTCGCGAAACATTCGTTCCTTAACTTACGCGAGGTCCCTTCGTTGGGCCTTACCCCGCTTTACGGCCCTAGCCAGGCAACCCATTTAACCGAGTCGGCTTCCCCGCTCACCCAACCTTATCGGCCCGGTACTACAACCGAGGCCACCCCATCAAGACACGGTCGGCACCCACGATTGCGACCACCCCATATACTACGGAAATCGAGTTCGAAGGTCACCACTGCAAAGACCACCAACAGGTTGCGGCTTACGCTTACCATCCCCAACAGCCTGCTGCCCGACAAGCAGATTCCCAGGCTACCCTACCTTAACACACCCCTTTTGCTTTCGCACCTCGTTCTTCTGTCGGCCGGCCTGCCAGTCAAGAAGGTCACGATGACGCTACCACAGCCCCAGATTAACCTCCTAGGATAGGTGACACTTGAGTTGGTTCTGGAATACGCTAAATGGAGTAAGTCGCTTCGCGACGCCAGGTTTGGACAAGGTTGTAATTGGGAGAAGTGTTTGGATTTTCTACCACAGGAAGGTTTCTTACTTTGTCGGTTCGATTCTGCTCACCTGTACCCTTTCTGTCTCGCGTTCCTTCGTGTTCGCACCATTTTGTATCGTAGCTCCAGTTAGTTGCGACTTTTTCGCTTTCCTTTGTCTTTTCCTTTTTATGTCGTTTGGTTGTTCCTGTAGGTCTTTTTGACCCTCGCGATAAGCCCTGTGCTTCTAGTCGAGTAATAAAATATCTATCTATCTTGTATTTACTCCACGAAGACAATTCTTGTTCCACGTCTCGTCATAGGGTTCAACTGGTTGGTCATACCAGGCAGAGCCGCCTCATAGTCCATAGTCTCGAATACCTATTGTTACGTCCTCGCCTCGGTTGTATTCCTTGGCACTATAGTCCCTACGCCCATAGACACCCGTTACAGCCTGACCGTCACGACTGGCCTACAACTATACAGTCGGATGCATCAAGTTCTCGCCATTCACGATGCAACACCCAACCTCAATACTCGTTACTAACCACAAGTGAAGATATTTAATAGAGAATACATAGTAGAGTTAAATAGAATATGAAGAAAACTATTTTGAGACTACCATTCCATGTGCCCTCCATTGGCTTTGAGACATGCATCAACCCTTAATGGTAATTTATTTAGCTTTGATTGAGACAATGCCTCCCACTCCTCTTGTGCAGCGATAAAAGGTTCATCATCACGATGAGGTATTCTCTATCTATAGCTTCATCGCCGTTTTAGTTCACTCTTGAGCATTTCCCATGAATTTTCTATGGTGTTGAAATCTGGTGATCCAGTAGGCCAATTCTCCTCCTAACTGGACAGTTTCTATCTTTATCTGTACAGTATTTCAGCCTATTTTATGGAGAATAACAACAGCTTGCCACTTGTCAAACCCTGAAGCTTTTGCAGAGTTCGTGGTGGAGTTATTAAGGTTTGACTCACCATCAAAAAACAGCGGGAACTTGTTGCATGCGACTGTACATGTACGTGTAGTAGAAAAATACTCACAGCCCTGCTTATATATCGTAGCTGATACGACATCAAATGCTTACCGCGCGTGGCCAGTAAGCATGCTTATTAAAACCTACATACTTGAAGATTCGGTATATGTATACATGTACATGGACTTACATAAGTGATCAGTCCGAAAGACGGAGTGAAAGTATATGTACAGTACGAAAAAACGGGGTAAAATCAGTACTGTAGCAATGGCGAATCCGTACCCTTTTTTGGTATTGTAATTAGCCCGAGGAATCTCAATGTTTGTAATAGCAGTCTACGTCTACTTAAAGTACAGTGTAGTTCTGAGAGTTGATATGTCTTCAGGGAGTAATGTGGATATACAGGTAGGATACTTACAAGTACTCCTTTAATTTAATCATATATACAATTTGTCTCATGACCTAACCAACACCTAATACCGCCATAACTCGAAAAAATTGGCTAGCTTCTAGAGGTCAAAATTACTTGTATGGGAAACTTCTGATGCAGATCGATGCCATTCAACCAATCACTCGAGTGATAATCCCTGGCCGGAGATAGCCAATTTTTCGAGTTTTGGCGGTAAATATCCTATATCCCTGCATCCGATCAAAGCCTCGAATAGAAAGATCTCGAAAACCGATAACTCGCTAGTCTCCATAAGTTGCATGTACAGTAGCACTCGCAAACTTCCCCCAATCCTTTCAAACATCGATCATCCAATTACACACATCTCCTTTATCTTTTGGATTGCGCACTGCCAAATATTGAAGTACAGACCAGGTTAGTTCGCTGATTGATTAACTAGTGGACTAACTCGTTGATATCACGTTCATTCATTCATTAACTTTATGCAGCCTTCTAGCTACTGGATTCCCCTTCCTCTCTTTCGCTCCTAGGTCTCCATTAGAGATCTAATGACCAATTAATCCATCACAAATAAGGTCATCAAAAACCAACAGGCACCAGTGAGAGTGGCGCGTGAGTAATCCGAGCAGTCCTTATTTCGATGCAATAAACGATACTAACTTTCAGTGGATAGTCCATCCAAACATCGAACGTCAAGTTCATATAGGCTTCGACTACGGGGCATCACTCGCCTCAATTTTTCTCTTTCCCCCTCTCGCTCCGAGGTCTCCCCTTGGAGATTCGGTAATCAAGAACCAACTGGCACCAGTGAGAGTGGCGCGTGAGTAATCCGAACAGTCATTATTTCGATGCAATTAGCGATAATTAATTTCTGGTGGATAGTTTATCCCAAAAGGGACTCAACTAACCGCACACGATTTATGCGTCTGAACTTCGTATGACGAAGAGACTATTTTATTGAAGCACACCGCCGACTCCCAAATGACGATTGTGGAGTCGATAAGAGAGGCAAATTTTATGGTGCCTGAAGATCTTGCAAAGAAGTACACCCTCATCCCGTACTCTTAAGTACAATTAGAAACCGAGCTTCAACGTTTGAAGGATCGAGCTAATCTCTCAATTTAAACGTTTTGATAAAGGCCTAAAGGAAAAGTCCAAGCCCCATAAAAACCTTCAAATAGAACTAGAGTCTTTAGGAGTGATTGGGAATGTTGCGGAAAGTCTAGAGGGAGCTGGTATTCGGGAGCCGGGGCCGGCTAGAGGGCAACTTTGAATGACTTCGTCGTTATATTTAGATTTAGCAAAATCACCTCGTCGTTTAACACTAATTGACCATGACTACTAAAAGACTTTCTAAAGTGACCACTGTTCAACTGAATGATTATTTACCTAAGTGAATATTTACCTAAATGACTCCCGCCTGCTACAAGAATACTACCACGAGTGGTCTTCTTCTGCTCCGGCACCAACACTTCAACACTACAAATACCTCCACAATAATAGTCACCAATGTCATCACCATTACCCCCTTCACTCTCATTTTTACAAGTGGATCACATTAGACCGGCGCCCCATATGTTCCTCTCCGTTCCCCAACTGTTCTCCTCCGTTCCCCATTCTCAAATGTTCTCGCTTCCTTAGTTTCATCAGTGCTTGCTTGGGGTTACCATCACCATCACCAGTATCAAGGTAGTTCATATCCAGCCCGCTGGTTGGTATAGAAATTACTAATAGGCAGCAGCAGGAGTGATGGAGCAGTAAAAGTAGCAGCAATGGCGTTAGAAATAATAAATATACGTTCATTTATCTCGAGCTCTAAATGACAGAGTCACTTATGAACGGTTGTCATACACACAACATTGGGTGGTGTTGGCCGCGCTCAGTTTTCAAATTTCGAGCTCAGATTCTGAGTTCTTGGCAGTGGGGAAGACCCACCTGTTCTGTACTGAACTCTATGTATGTTCGACTCTTGAGTTTTATATCGTACGCTAGAGATCTTAATGGGGGAAAGAACACTGCACGCGTTCACCAAAGTATAGGTGGGTCTTCCCCACTTATAGTACCAAGAACTCGGGGTTTGAGCTCGAAATTTGAAAACTGGGCGTGGCAAACACGATCTATTACTTCGTCCTAGCAACAACAGAGTTATGAAATCTAACTACTTACAGCCTGTGGAGACACCGAAAAAGTTATAGGAGGTGTCACAGACGGTTACTTCATAGCACAGAGTGAGGGTTAGGTTTACTACCGAGTAAAAGTTGCCTACTAACTCCTAGTCTTGAAAATACACGAAGGGATGTACTTCTATTTAATACGGGAGATTAGACCTCGTCTTCTGATGTCACCAAATTCATTTCAAACGACCTTAACCAATGGACAATGAATTCACAACGCCGGTATGTCCCTCTGATGTATGCACGCTCTCTCTGCGCATCTGTACCACGCTGACCAAGATAATGAGAAGGATGAGCATTGGCCCATCACGAACCTTCACCGTGGCATCAGCATCGCGGACCTGCATGAAAGAATATAAGATGTGCTTATTGAGATCACCGAAAAGGCGCCCTTTAAGTTTGATGATAAATGGCAAGAGTATGTCGAAGCCTTTGTCGAGTTCAAAGAGATACTGGGAAAACGAATCGACAACTATGGCTCGATGAATCCCCTTCACAAGGATCTCGTCTGGTACATGCTCTATAACTGGCCGGGGTTCCACGTCTGTAGATTGATCAAAATGGCCGGAGATATACGCTGTGGAGGCACAAAGACATGTACGCTAACTAACCCTTTTTGCTTTTAGTACGTCTTTCCCGGATTCTCCGCGTTGAATCGCCAGCCGCCGTGGACAAGCTAAACTCTGCACTATCGGATCGGCAGTCACTCGAGTCTTTCGATCTCCCCCGGTACGGGCTGAAAACAGCCAACAAACACATCCAAAAGGAGGCCGTCAAGGAGGTCTACTCGCTAGTCAAAGCCTTCGTTGACGCCTTTGATGAACAATACGACCTCTTTTGTCATGAGTTCCGCCGAGTCGAGCTTAACGACGACTTGAGGAGATTGGTCAAAGAGGCCCAGCAAACCGGAACCAGACCTGCGGAAGACTTGAAGAGGCTTGAAGATGAGGCTTGCAAGACGAGGGTCGAAATCCGCAGGCATGCGGAGCTAATCGTGAGGCCCGGCTACGAATCACCTTTCTCCAAGACTGAAGTGACCGATATACCCTCCGAGGCGAATGATATGCGCCGCCGCAACGTGAATAATCTTGCACGAACGTGTAAATCCTTTAGAAAAACGATTGCTGAATTCGACGAGGAGCAGGAGAGAAGAAGGGAGCTCCACAAGCGCAAGAAGGAGTTGGCTGAGAAAGAGTTGAAAAGGTTGAATGAGGAGCTTTCAGACTCAGTGGAGCTTTTCCGAGACGCGTTTCGAGAAAAGTTTAGCTACTGGTTTAGCACAAAATCAAAGGCACAGAAAATGGAGGAAAGAGAGAGTATTAAGCAAAGAACTCTCATGCATAAAAGGAAATACGCAAAGGGCAAATGAAGGAGGATTGCTTTTCTTGTACATGTTCTATCAATTTCAATTACTTCCCAGTCTGTTTAGATTGGATTGCTGCTGTAAATAATACTCGAGATTTGCATGTATTCATTGGGAGCTTCAATCTATCAATAAGAGAATTTGGAGTCTGGTTGTGGTGTATAGGATTGGATTAACCGAAGCCTGTACGTATGCATTTTTGTATACTGCATTGGAATTCTCTCTCAAGATTAATCAGAGGAAGTCTTGAATAGAGATGCGTAGCAAGATCCGAGCGCATTTTGCGAGTTATAAAATACGACTACAACTCGGCATAACCGGATCCAACAGACATTACATTCGGAATTTGAAAACTAACATTCATGCAATGGCTAGAGTCTAGGCTGACAAGCCGAAATAACAATCAAATTATACACGATACTGTCTTTGATAGCGCAATATGCGTATAGAGGTATAGTTCAACTGCTTAGATGAGCTTAATGCAATTTTATTCTGCTAGATAGGTTCAACTATCCTTATTTGGTACTGTATGTAGCTACAATTGATGTAATGAACTTTTGAAAAACTAGCAACCATCAACGTGTATCGGTCTGTAGGATTGACTACTAGACGGTGCCGAAGTTATTTTCTCTCACTCCGGCATCCTGCCTACCGATCAAACCTCACGCACGCTTCCACTTTTCTCTCAGGCATAATCTACTCCAGGCCATTTCACATCTGTATTCTCATTCGCCCACTCGTCGCCCAGCGGAATTTTAGCCGTATATGTGCTACCGTGCGATATCTTGTGGCGCAGCTTCCATAACTTCTTCAATCCATTCATCAGCTGCTTCCCCTTGACCTCTCCCGGCTCTCGACCTTTCGTTAAACGCTTTGTTCTTTCGTGGACCCGTGCCCATAGCCGAGCCAAAACCACGTCATACCACCCGTTGTCACCTATGTCGACCGAACCGGAAAATCCAAACCAGCGCTCAATGCCCGTCCACTCTGCCCACATATCCAGTTTCTGGCGCCACATCGCCGTGTAATATGGGGGGGAAGAAGCTCTGAACATCGTAAGGTCTATCTTGGCAAACTTGATGAGCAGCATGGCGTAATGCTCTAATACCGTGAGGTGCACGATGTCGTGGGGGTCAAAGACCGGTGAGGCGAGAACGGTGCTACTGAGATCGATGCGGGCGAATTTGATGGGGAGCATAGGCGGGTGGATCAGCGACAATACATGGCGTCTGAGTTTGCGGAGCTCTCGTATTGAAGTGAGGGTGTTGCGGATAGCGATAGCACGGCGATATCCTTCGACTTTAAGAAGCATGAGATGAGTGAAGCATGGGACATATACGGGTTGGTTCATTTTGATGCTGGAGGCCTAGCTAGGTGAGGGGTAGACTTGGATTAGAGTCTTGTATCAATAAGAACGGTACGTACGGGATTGGAGAAGATGTATAATTCTGGCTAGATATACATACGCTGGGTCATATGACGATGCGTCTATGTATATTTATCGGCCTAGCTGCAGAGGGTGGTGAGGATCATCGACATGAGTGTGCAGAGAAGACTCAGCTTATAGATTGTTGTCGTAGGTATGAGAGATGGAGATGTACACACGTATTTTCGTAAACGGTTACCTGGCCTGAATACATGATGTACGTACATATGTGCATGTACACGCAGCGGTCGACGTCGCGGTATAACGTTTACTACATGTACATGTAGTTACCAAGGAAGTAGACCCGTGGGGCTCCCGACAGATATACAAGTCGCTGCACATGTAGCCATAGGAGCCACGGAGGTCCGAGGGAGCCTCATTCTTACGTCACATACAACTGGAATTACAAGACTCTCAAATTGCAAAGTGAATTGCAACCATCAACCATTCATCGAATATCACCCGGTCATCACCTGTCACTCGCTGCCAAGACTTGCAATAGTGGAATAGAAGCACAGGTCGGAGAGGTTTATAAATTTGTAGCGGGATTAATTAGCAGGATGCTTGATTGTGGTAGAGATAATGCATATCCAATACCGGAATCCGTGGTATATAGAGCTTAGTCGGGAAATTGCATGTAGGTACCTACTATGCGAGATGGTGAACCATAGTACTTATTTTTGATTCAAGTAGCTTAGTTATTACGTACATGTAGATATCTCGGTAGCCATTAATGTTATATATATAAGCCCAAATTAACTACGACAAGCGAAAGAAACGGCTTGTGCCAGGCGATAGACAAACCTTGAGAGCTTTATCGAAGACCCAATGGATCCTAGCTACAGGCTAGAGGTACATCTCTATCTATGGCCGACATCCCATGTATTAAATACGTATATATATGTCTGAACCAGCGATGCAGATAGGTAAATACAGGTTCGATAATCCTGCATCAAAACGAAAGGTCTTTCTGTGGCACCACGAGGCACAGGTAGCTCACCGGAGCAGAGCAAGGGATCTGGAACTTAAACATACTCGCGCATTAATTTAACGCATGAGTAAAACGAGGATTGCGCGGTTGCCAAGAGAAGCAACTTTTAGGACCTCTGGAGGACTGCTCATGTCTCCAAGTCTTTTTGCCTGATCTCCGGCCACCACCGAAAACACACCCCTGCACCCAATTATTCAGACCTGCTCTGCAACCCTAACTATCTTTGAAAGACACATGAGGAACACTATTCAAACTCTCACTATGTGTACCCGCTTTGAAGGCTGGGATTCCTTCGGCATGCCAACACCTGCCTGGTTCTAGCAGCTAACCTCATGGGTGATAGACAAAATGCGACCCCTCAACTCTTCCCCAAATCGAAGGATCGCCAGGAGCGATACGAAAGCCCCATAAAATCAACATTTGAGTGGGTGAAGGATAACACTATCATCCAGAAGTGGATAGGAGAGGATACACAGGTGATTTAGGTGTCTGGGGGCCGGGGCCAGGCCCCGGAAAATCCGTGTTTTCTAGTTAAGCACCTACCAAGCCAAACTTGCGTAGCTACTTCCGGTGGTGGTGCGCTTGTGGGTGCGGTGGGTTTGCTATAATAGATCTGAGGGGATCAGGTTCGCACAGTTACTCCTGGATAACGGGGCGGATGCGAATAAACAGAGTGAGAAGTGTGGATGCGCTTTAAACATAGCTTCTTTGTGTGGGGGCTGAAGCTTGTGTAGCTACTGGTTGATTACTGTGCGAATATTCATGCTGTTAGAGATGAGGATAGAGATCTTGTTTTGGAGATGGGATTGAAGATGATGGAGCCGGCACACCCACTGATTGGTCACCTCTAGGGTCGCTGGATGAAGAGTCTATGGATGAAGAGAGCGAGTGGAAATGTCGTTGTAGCGACTGAGGACATGTGAGTGCGATTGCCAAAGTCTGGCATGTTTGGTCCTTAAATAACGATCAATTCTGTTCTCTAGAATCATCAAAATGACGCCGGAAATCACACGCTTTGTTAAGCACGTATGGTTCAGTGTCTATTGATATATATGTATCTGAGTGGGGAACCTCCGCTTGATATTGGCATATCGTTTATAGTTTGTCACATCCATGTCAGAGCATTCTTATCTTTTCCGTTAGCACGATGTCAGTTCTTGTATTCTTTGTCAACCATTTCCGCCGTTTACCCTCCTTCTTTGATGAACTCTCTCTTCAGGTCCGTTAGAGGTTCGTCTTACACAAGTGCACATATTCAGCTCAGCTAGCTACAAAACATCAAGACTGAAGAGCACAAAAACCTTTCCAGAGTATGAACCCTTGTAGCAACTGCCCCTGCTTTTTCCGAACCACGAGGTGCTAAAGGCACTTAGTGTTTCTCCCTTTCGTAGTATTTGAGGCTCGAACAATCACCAATATATATATATTTTTGAAATCCGGCAGTACCCCATCTTCCTGTAACTCCGGATGTATATCTGGTGAGTCTGTTATCCATAGCATGAACAAGTTTGCTTTTCTTGATCACGTTTTTGTCCACCACACAAGCAGCCTGTTCCTGCTATTCCCATTATTAATCAGTTCAATCACACAACCCGATTCTTCCTAGCCTCTCATAAAACGTGACTGACCTGGGTAGCTATACATGGCCTGCCCGCCCCACCACACCCCCCTCGAGACATCCGGCTTTTTGTTCTCGTTACTCCCAGAGACACCATAGACCGCCCCAGGTACCGAATCAAAAAGGTATGTCTCAGATGCTGTAGTATCTTCTTCTTGTTTTCGCACTAAACCATCCCACCAGCTCCCATATCCAAACGCCGCACAATCCGTTTCCGGTCCGCATCACGAGTGATGCATGATGATTCACTCGTGGCTGGTAGAGAGGGTTAGGGTTTGTACTGTCATTTCGCTTTGGGGTGGGAATGCGGCGGTGTTGACTTGGGTTGTGGTGTTTGATGAAGGGTCCTTTATCACTGATAAAATGAAGGTAAAGTCGTGTATTTATGCTGTGCATTGGAGATAAGTTTCTCTCTGGGCGATGCTGCTGAGAAGTGTTTCATTAATGTAGTGCTGTTTGATAATATCATTACCATGCTGGCGATGATACTGGCGAGTGAGTGACTGAGTGGCGACTGGGTCGGTTGAGAGAGCCGTGCGAAGGACATACCTAGGTAACATATGGGTGTGGAGTACATGTATGTAGGTCTCGGTGGGTGGGTTGAATTGTAGAGTTGATGGCCCTGTTTCAACACCAATATTTCTATCTCTCGCTACATACATGTACTCTAATACAAGAGATTTTGATTGTTACACAGCAAATAGGGACGGGACGAACGAGAAGATCAAAGGTTTTGTTTACCCTCCTTCAAACGAATGTTTCTGTTTGTGTCTCTGCCCCCTCTCACTCCCGCAGATGCCCAGAGACTAGAGGATATATATATGCATACTATATTCCCTGTTTTCTCGCCCGAGTTCCCTGGATACTTTAACCCCTTCCGCACACCCAAGCTGCGCCACACAACGCACCAATCTCCACCGCCCCCCCATCCCAGCAAGCCACACCAACCGAGTGACCACTCATGCGTGATCGTGCACTTTTTGCAGCCCGGATCACGATGGGGTGGATTCACCAATTGACATCCATACACACCCCAAGGTATCTTTAGGGGGTGGTGTGCTTATTCCAACATGCAACAACATGGGGAGGAGGAGGAAGATGGAGATATAAAAAACACTCAAGTCCCGCTCCTCCTCGATCCTACCACTCCTTCAGATCCCTCCTCTGGTCGAGTGAGTGAGATGGGTAGTAGTAGGTCTATACCGCAGTCGCTCGTTAGATTGGCATCGGTCTCGCAATGAAGTTCCCGCTCCTCTCGACACTCCTCCTGTCTGGAGGCTTTGTCTGCGCCTGCGATAACGACCGGTGCGCTAACACGGTCACTCGCACGGTCTGGAACGTCCGTACCAGGTATGTCTTCTCATGAATTGATTACTCCCCGCAATGGCCACCCTGATATCAATGTCAATTGGCTAACAAACTGATTCGGCACACAGAAAATTCACAGAGACCTTTACGAAATTAATCCCATACACCACAACATCAACAAAATACGTCCCCGGCGACGTCCAGAAGAAAACGTAAGTCTCCCGCCCTCCCCCTCCAACGCAGCTTCAACCGCTGACGAAACGGACAACCCCAGCGTCACACTCTTCACAAGCACAAAAACCCATGTCGTCTCGACCATCATCAAAGACGGCATCGTCACCACCACGACGCTGACCATGCCCGGCGGATACCCGACCGTCACCGTGTCCGGTGCTGGCGAGGTCACCACCGTCACTATTCCCGGCGCGGGGGAAATGACCACTGTGTACGGGTTTTTATGTAATCGTTTTTTTTATGCGCAGGGGATGTTGTGTATTGTCGTTGGGGTTATTTATTTATTCGTGGCCGAGCTCTGGAATACATGTCCAAAAAAGTCTAGCCTAATCTTGAAAATAATGGAATCATGAATCATCACTCGGGGGTGTAAATCGGAACACTGCCTTTAATTTATTGTGAAGGGGTTAATTAATTGCATGCAGCCCCAGGTCTCAATGTCTATGGTCATATAGACAATGCCTTTCATTTGAGATGTGCAAGAGACGGAAGTGCGGGGAAATATCGGTGCTCCACTTTTGGACGGCTGTCGATCGACATTGAATTGTACGTGGCTACCTACCCTAGGACTAGGCAGATACAGGGGGCGGGGTTGATATATCGGTAGGAAGCTTTGATGTGAAGAGATCTACATGTATACCATCTATAGACGAAGAACAATCAGTAGTGGTGTATTATAGCCCGGGAGTAAGTGGGCCTGGTTAAGGCACATCTATGAGTCTGTAGCTATGTATGTGTGTAGGGAAGGTTTCAACTCAGCAGTTTATCAAGCAGCATCTGTACCCACTGGTCCCCCACCCCACAACCTCCTATCCCACCAAGCCCCACACCCAACCACCACCACCAGCGCAAACCCGGAAGCTAGCAAAGTGCCACAACACGTAAACAGCCAGCCAACAGCAACCACCACACCCCCTCAGTCTCACCCGCCAGCTCCACAGCGTCGGTACACAGTACCAAGCAGTGCCACCACGCGTACATACACCAACCTAAAGGATGTAGCCCGGCGCCCCATCATACCAGTAGCTTACCGTCGAAACGAATACAATTTTGAGCCTTATTCAGTCGGCTTATCCAGATCGTAGGCTCATAATAGCCTTATGATCCAATAAGATTCAAATAAGTATTATTTAAGCATGTTTTAAGGATTAAATAAGGCTTAGAAAAGGATTTTTGTACTAATAAAGCTATTGTGAGCCTACGTCCTGGATAAGCCGACTGAATAAGTCTTGAAATGGTATGCGTTTCGACAGTAAGGTACGTGACAGGTGCCGGATACATACATACACGCCTATACCGCACCCTATGTATTCCGCCTACCTCGTGACGTACAGTAGGTGGTGAAGAGAGATGGAATTCGCAGTGCTCTGCGTGTGTGGTGTTGCAATTGGTTGCAGTAGGAGGAGTATGTGGTGGGTTGGTTGCGAGCTCTGCTATCATGGATCTTGGCGCTGGTGGCGAACCCTAACCCTGGAGAGTGATGCATGGTGTAGCACTCGATTTTTAGCTTGTATTAAAAAGACTGCGGGGTGTGGGGTTGAGAGAAGTGGCGGGAGAGGTGTGGTTTTGTTTAAGAGGCATATTTTTGGAGTTATGGGAAGTACGGGGGGTTGGCCGCGGTGAGCGGTTTCATGTGTGCTAGGGTTGTCCTACGATCACAGAGTGCCAACGGTTTGGGTGGTTTTTTTTTAACGAGAGTACTTTTTTCTGAGCGGGGTTCTTTATGTTGATAGACGGTATAAGGTGAACCAAATAAGTGGGTGGTGATAGCATAGATAAATATGTTAGAAAAAGATATGTTGCTCATTTGCCTTTCTTTATGCTTTTGGCCTTTGGAGCCCATAAACTGAACAAGGAAATTGCGAAGCTGACAAGATAGAAACCATATCCCCCTTTGCGACGACTTCAATAGACTCCACCCCTGTCGTTATGAAAAAAAAAACTTAGACATCCCTTCCACCGCGAGTTGTTAAATGCTGACAAGTTGAAAAAATACTGATGTGACAGAAAAAAAACAGGACTAGTCCCAATGAAAGTGAGAAATATATGACCACTTGACCTAGGGCACATTCGGCCCGCTCTTATCTGACCTCCAAAACCCGATGCCCCTAACACACCTCCAAACGTAAAAACAAATTCCTTATATGCTGCCTTCCTCGTCAGTTCCGAAATAGTTAGCTTGGGAATATGCACCGGCGCATTGACATCAATCTTTAGCGCCAGCCTTACGTAGCCTCTTAACCACCCTCTCGTGTCCTCCTTCAGCTGCCGCCTGCAAGGCTGTCCGTCCAGACCATTCGGTAGGCTCTGCGTTGATGTCAGCCCCAGCCTGGAGCAGCTTGTCGACTATCACTTCGTGTCCTCCTCCAGCTGCCGCCTGCAAGGCTGTCCGTCCATACCATTCGGTAGGCTCTGCGTTGGTGTCAGCCCCAGCCTGGAGCAGCTTGTCGACTACCACTTCGTGTCCTCCTCCAGCTGCCGCCTGCAAGGCTGTCCGTCCATCGCTTTGGGCAGGCTCTGCGTTGATGTCAGCCCTAGCCTGGAGCAGCTTGTCGACTGTCACTTCGTGTCCTCCTTCAGCTGCCGCCTGCAAGGCTGTCCGTCCATCATGTTGGGCAGGCTCTGCGTTGATGTCAGCCCCAGCCTGGAGCAGCTTGTCGACTATCACTTCGTGTCCTCCTCCAGCTGCCGCCTGCAAGGCTGTCCGTCCATCGCCTCGGTCAGGCGATGCGTTGATGTCAGCCCCAGCAGTGATTAGAAGGTCGACTATTTTAATATTCCCAATCCTTGCCGCAAGTTGCAGTACTGTGATGCCCTCCTCCAATCTCTCAAGTGGGGCCATAAGTCCATACCGCGACACATGAACAGTGACCATCTCCACCGAGCCCTGACGACAACATTCAAAAATTGACGACACGAGGGAGACTGGTTGTTCAGTATTCGATGTTAACCTCCGCTTTAGTAAATATTGCGTTATTTCGTTATATTCCATTTCAACAGCCCAGCGTAGCAGCGGTTGCTGACTCTTTGGTACTGGGTTAATCTGTGCAACCTGCTCACCCAAAAGACAGGACGATGCTAACTCCATGGCTGCACCCCTCAACCCAATCGTTGAGGTGACCGTAGAACAATCTGTTTCCATGTCCATCCGCCGCATGTCTTTGAGGAGCGACGCCGTAATCCTATTATGACCGCTTCTGATTGCGCAAAGCAGCACAATCGCCTTTAAGGTGTCGTGATCGTGATCCGCCTTGGTTGAGGGAAGGAAATATTCACCAATTGCTTCCCATAGTAAACTTAGATATTGCGCATCTATAGCTGATTGAGCATGATCCGTACTTATGAAGGACTGGGGGAAAAGTCTCTCATCATACCTTCGGGGGTAGGAGATAAGATCTCCTGATCTCCGATTCTTAAGACATTCCCACAAGGTTCCGGGATATCACCCCCCACTAAAGACACCCAGTAAACAAATAAGTCTCAGCCTACTGGATGATTCATCAAGAAATATGGACTCTACCCTCAAATCTTGCCAGAGTGGTCCAGCTCTGGTCTTTTATAATAATACTTGCTTGTTTGCTAATCTTTGTAGCTACGAAGAGAATGACGGAGGACGTCGACACCGAGGCCTTACTGGCCTGGTAGTATGCAAAACTAAGCATACAATTAGTTATGATCTGCATTCTAGAATGTGTGTAGATATTACCGTTGAAACAACACCTGTTCCTCTTCAGTTTCCCAACTGTGGTGTGTTTTTTCGAGAAGCTTCGATTTCTCGTTCCGCTTAGAAGGTTGTAATGACATACCCTTCACTTGCGTCTCCCAAATGCTAAGGTCACAAAGTTGAATATCCTCAAATGTGGGCTTTTGAAGCTTCGAGCTATCCATATCCTCAAATTGGTCTCTAATAGCCTAATTGAATCCTTTAGAAAGGACTCCCATGTCTTTAGGTTGTCGTGATAGCGACTAACCTCTGCAAGCACTTCCGCGTCGTATTGTATGCTTGGATCGAGAAGGTTGAACTGCGGATGCTTTGCAATGACATCTATCAAAATCCACGATGCCTTAACAAGGTTTGTGTAAGCTTGGTGAGAGACGCGCCCGTCAGACGCAAGGCCTGCAGACAGGTCGCTTTGAGACTGTTTCATAGTTAGTCCAGGCTTCGGACCAACCCACGAGATAAAATAACTCTTAGTTTACCTTCAGAAGCCACCACCTTCCCGCCTGAATCCATTCGTCTACCCCAATAGCTGACCACCGTCGCTTTCCAACTTCAGCGTTTTCCATCAGCTTCATACTGAGAAGGGTTTTCTTTAAAGCTTTATCATTGACGGCCGATATTGACGGAGCTTCTGGGGATCCTTGACTCTCAAACTTTTGGACAAGTTCATCAATGCGACTGAACCTTCTTTCAAGTTTCTGGGTTGAGGACTCGATACGCTGCAATGAAGAACTTTTTCAGGATTGCTTAGCTATCATACCCAAATACATCTGACGGGAGTCTTTACTTTCCACAGGATGTTAAAAGTAAGTTTATAACACCGTTATGATAGACCAACTATATCAAGTCAGCAAGGCTACCAGAGAAAAACCTATCAAATTACCTTGTTCCGTAGGGCATCCAAATCGGAGGCATCAACAGCCCATTTAAACTTTGCCCATAGTTGTTTTCGGACTTTCGAACGTGAAGAATCCCCCAACTTCTCATACTTCTTCGCATGTTTCTCAAGCTCCTTGAGTGTCACCTCCACCCGACTCATCATTTCCTTCACCATACGAATACGGTCTTCACCGGAGCGGACTAGAGTCGAATTTGGATCTTGGGCTTCAAGTTCTAGGAGCTTGATCGATTGGGATAGTGTAGTAATCTCCTGAAGAAGCAACTGGAACTCCTGAGGAGCACCCCTTGATACGACATAGCAATAACGATAGAGGTTCCAGGCGAGCTGAGAAACGGCAATGAAATCGCCGACGCCAAAGCCGAAGGACATAGCTTCGATGATAAGATCGCAAATAGATTGTAAAGGATGTTGATTTCCGTTGTGTTGTGTTTGATCAGAAAGATTAGCGAAAGGCTGCGAGGCATACATAAATACATGTATTTACTCAAGGCAGCATAATGGAAGCGGGGTAAATGTAGTTTTGCTGGTCCTGCATGCGACCAATAAGAGGTAAGCCTTGGTCAACTAATCCAAGCTGTCCGATTATCTATGACCCGGTTAGATAATGCGGTAATACATGATGTTTATTAAAGAAAATGCTTTCCCGAGCTTGATAATTGATTATGAGGTATGTATCTATTCACAGGTTGTTCCCTTATAAAGACTACATGTAGCACCTACTTCGTGACCTAGTGGGCCTGTTCGAGAGGAGCTAAAGAAACGAGGAATTTTTTCCGAATTAATCTTCATATGAGCTGGCGCAAAAAAGCGGTTGTAAGGAGTTAATTTGGCGCGTGCTTGAAAGACTATAAACTTGTATTTGTCTTGTGGGATTAGGATTATCGACCCGGTTTATGGCCCGACACTGGGTGCCGAACGAGTGACGACTTATGCGCCAAAATTTGTAGTATTACCACCCAGAGAGAAAATACAAACGTTGCCGGATCTATACATGTAGCTTTGTCGAGCCAAGAGCTGTTACCTCAATTCCATACAAGTAGTTCTCACGATATATAACAGACATGCATACATGTGTTTTCAAGGTGCGGAGGAGGAAGTCGTTCGACAAACTAAAAAGTCCGAGTGCCGATTTTCTTAGGACCGTAAATGTAGACAAATATACGATTAAAGTACTCATGCTCGGTGCTAATATTTTTTCAACAGTTGACCTGGCTTCCAGAATGCACTAGACAGTCGAAGGCTAATCACAAAAATAGGCCCTGTACTTTTGACCTTTGTAGAAATTTAGAAGTGGGTGCACCTTAATTTTGTCACACCACTTGAGCCTCATATCGCGCTTATGCAGGAGGATGCAACAGGACCCTCTCCTGACGCAGGAACCAACCAGCTCTGGGTCCCTCGCTTGTCCGGACCGAGAGCCTTGGCATTACTAGTGGGGGGTAATATTGTGTACATGTATGTATGTACTAGTGCGAAAGACAGTGGTAAGAACAATGTTCCATCACCCCGGATGGTATGATTGCAAGAGGGGCACATCATTGCATCAGACCTACTCTCAATTCCGGGTCATTTATCGCACTCGGCACGTATAAAGGCGTTGGACCAGGCCTTCCAATGGGCTCTCCCGGCCCGGAGAATACCCCAGCCCAGCCCAGCCCGACCCAGTCCAGCCCAGTTAAGTTCATATCCCCCATTGATGGGCCACTTGGGCCCAGCCCGGGCGTTTGTTAAAGAGCATGACATGGATTAAAATAGATGCAGTTCGACTTTTCTCAGCAGTTTTAATCTTTTTCCCTCTACAAAACGTATTTTGGTGTTCGAAAATCCCAGTTTTCCTGCCCAAGCCCAGGCAACATAGACCGGGCCCGAGAAGACAGCGGCCCGGCCCGGCCTGGCTCAGCTATCTAAGTAGAGGCCCTGCCCAGCCCAGTCCTTTAATAGCCCGGGCAAGCCTATATAAGACGGGACCCATTGGAAGCCCTGCGCTGGACTAGGCCACCGCCGCCTTCTAGCTGTGATTGCCTCCCTAACTTCAATTCTGGCGATCTATGGATTACGAAACCGTCAGCTATACTAGCTTCGATATCCCTGAATGGCGAAGAGGGGTGGAAATCTTAATTCTTAATTCTTGGAGGATTGTTACTCGTGCATTAGTATACTGTTGGTATGCAGGAATGTGCAGCATGATAACCGATTAACAATGTCACGACAGGTCTCATACACATACTCAGATATATCCTCTTACAGCTCGGATTCTCGAATACCAGCCTGATGGCGTGAACGTCAATTTACAGGAAGAAATATTTGTAGCATGAAGGGCTAAGACCTTGAGAGCTCAACGTGTTAAATTCTACAACTCGTGCGTTTAAATTCTTTGAATAAGTAACAAGTCTCCAACTTTATTCAAGTCTTATTTTTATGGTAACCCCCCACCCCCCCTCTTTCCCTGGGAACATAGAAAGTGCTCACATAGATAAATTCAAGCCCAAGAATAAACAACTTCCGAAAAACGATGCAAGGAAAAGATAGGATGCAGTCCAAGAGTTTGTAACAGTAAGAAAGACGGCGAGTGCCAGTGTTAATATTCGAGCCAAAAACCAACGGTAGAAGGAAAACAGTATAACTTTATATCTATATTAATCAAGAAAATGTGAAGAATAAAGACACCAAGTCATCAGTGTAAGAGACTATCTGTGAGGTTTGATGTCAGCGAGTGAAGTAAAGGGCGGCGTGTTGGGTGTACTTACAAAAACGAAACAACAGCATAGCCATCTTCTTGCTTTATCTTTTCACCACAGTATAGTGCACTACAACCCAGATATCGCGAATACCATCACTCTTTTCAGACTTGGTAAGGCTCAGGGTCCAGTTACCGAACGTACAATCAATCTCCCCTGAGCTGAAGCATCTCAGGCCCCTACCGGTTGCTCCCGTGAATGTAACATCTTTGTTGGTGGTCCCTGCAGTAACATTGATTTTCCACCTCGCAGCGTCGGCGATGTTTGAAGTTGTGAAAATGTGAATCTCCTTGACAGTGACTTTGTTCGAATATCTGTTTGCAAAGAACGGAAGCGTATTTTCTAGGTTTGCCATAGACATAGAATAAGTATCTAGGAAGGTCTTCCATTCCGTTGCAAAGTCCGCTCTGATATCAAAGAGAGCGAAGGCTCCTCCTTTAGTAGCTCTGATCCCCCCTAGGTACCAATCGACGTATTCACCAGCGATTTTCTTTAGAGTGTTTCCTCCGTAGACAGAGGTGTAGCGAACATGTACAATCGCGTCTGGTACTTTGCGATAGTCAAAGGCACGGAAGTGCGGCGGGAGCTCAAGTCTCCATCTGCTGATTGCTCCAGCGCCCTCAAATGGCAAGTATCGATCATCGAGAGAGGAGGCAGATTTAGCTACTCCGCCGTCGTTTAAGCCGCTACTAGTAGCGATATGGTCGATGGGGATGTCGTCGGTATAGAAGCTCTCCTTGTCTCCACCAGCAATTCCCTTTGCGTAAGAATCTCGATCTGTAGGAATCTTGGCACGATAACTATGCTTGACGAGCCGCATTGTGCAATTAACACTCAACATCGATGCCCCTGGTGGTTGTTTTGGCTGAGGATGGAATGTTAGGGAAACGGTCTTGATCCTTCGTTTGTAATGCCCGGGAAAGTCAATATCGAAGAGTGCTTCAGGAATATCAAACTCGCAGTTCCCAAGCTCTCTCAATTCAAGGAATGCTCTTGGGTAAAGTTGCTTCAAGGAAATATGCTTTGTTATTTCATAATCATAGCCACGATTCTCGTTGTAGGCCATCTCAAGTCGCTTCAGGCCTAGATAAAGTTGTTCGCCCGAGAATAGCCCGTCCTTGTTGGTATCCCATGTTCCTTGGATGAAGTTTGTGATAGAAGGACCACGGCCGTGTTCAAAGTCAAAGGAGTTTGCAGGGCCACGTTCGAACTGAAACAAGCTTTCAGCCTTCTTAGCCAAGTCGTATGTGAGAACATAGGTCTGATGGTATAAATCACGGAGTTGCTTCTCTCGCCATATGCATAGATCTTGATTCGTATACTTCGTTCTAAGGAATTGCTCCGAGCGTGCCATAAATTCAAGCTGTTTTTGCTGCGTTTCAATGTCTCGATTCGTAATTTTAATGCGGATCTTCTGCTCTTCGATCTGACTGTCAATGTGCTTGATTTCGTAGCCCAAGGAGTTTGCTTGTTGGATCCGATCTTGATATTGACGCAGTAAAGAGGATTTTCTAGCAGCGCCCATGGATTGCGATTGAACCAGTTCCATTTGTGCTGTCATGGCGCGTGCATATGCAGATGCTGCCTCGCCTAAGTTGAGAGAATCAAATCTAACTTGTTGGCCCATTTCCTGTGGTATTTGCAAAGCTGAAGTCGATATGACCGGATGCCCGAGTAGCAGCGCAGAGGATGTTTCGGCGATATTGCGCTTTTCGATGAACTCAGTCGCCTCTTCTGCCTTTCCAATCTCTGCTGCCTCAAAGGGGGTAAGCTTATAAGCACTCTGTTGATTAATCCCCACGATAGGCGCAGTAAACTCCAGGAATTGCTCCTTCTCCTTTGGACAGCGTTTCTTGTTCTCTCCTAGAAGACGACAAAGATGTTCAAGCTGGGACACTGGGCCCCTGCGAGCCTCTTGGAGTGAAACTGTAAAATACCTAGTCAGGTCGATGACATCCAGAATGGAAATATTGGTAACGTACCTAAGGCTTTGTTCGCCTCTTCGAGATTCAATTTCTTCATATCAAGTATCATAGCATTTATGCTGGTGGCATGCCCGGCCCTGATGAGGTTGTACGTCTCAGAGTCCTTTCTCGTCATTGCCTCGAGGAACGCGTTTCCCAATGACTTGAGCTCTTGAACCATCTCAAAAGCCTTTTCCAGAATATATCGAAATCGGTAATTGGGCATTGGGGAATTTAGGCCTTGTAAAATGCTTTGGATACTGAGTCCTTGATTGGCTGCTTTTACCAAAGCTAAAGAATCAACCTGTGGTTCGAGAAGATCAAACCTGCACATGGAAAGTCCTCTGATATTTTGGCAATGCTGAATCTTGTATAGCCGATCATCGATCTTGGAGCGAAGGCTTCTGAGCTTATCGTTCTCTGGCACACAAAAGTATAAAGAGACGTCGGCATCAGGCAAAGCGGGGGCGGTAATGTTGTCGATGGTTTGAATTGTGGAAGTGTGGTGGGCGAAGGGAAAGGTTGTTTGGCAGTTCGCGACGCCCGCCTCTCTTTCTATACGTGATTTCCTGATAAGGGAGTCATACGTCCCCGGAATCTTTCCTTTCTTTTGGGGCTTCTTTGGTTGAGGTCCGGATAGATGTGCTGCCAGAGTATAGTATTGGAA